TGTAACTCAGAGGTGATGAAGGTGACCCAGCTCTACTCTTCATCACTGATGCTGTAACTCAGAGGTGATGAAGGTGACCCAGCTCTACTCTTCATCACTACGATGCTGTAACTCAGAGGTGATGAAGGTGACCCAGCTCTACTGTTCATCACTATGATGCTGTAACTCAGAGGTGATGATGGTGACCCAGCAATGTCCAGTAGTCTCCAGTGAGAGCAGCAGCTGCTGCACATTGTAACGCCGTCGCTTTAGTCGTCCTCTCCTTTAATACAACTCGTGTGTTCTTCTGGTGACGGTGCGTCTTGAGGCTCATACATGACGTCATTCGTTGACATCCTAAAGGTGCGTTCACACCAAACGCGACGTGAACGCACCTTGAGAACATTCCTCAGACCGACATCTTCCACAACACTAACCTGCAGTTTGTCTCCACTTCTCTGTAGCATCTGTTAGCTTGTGTTGCTTTAGTTTATTTCTACTTCTGCCACACGCTGCATCAACGTAGTCTGAAGACTTCCTCCACCGCTTGTTTGTTTGGGTGATTTGCTGACATCAACGGTGTGTATTGCATTTTTGTTTTAAACTGCGTTAACGCGCAATAAAATAATTGTCGGCGTTAATTAATTAATGCGTTAAGTTGCCCAGCACTAACATATCTATATATACGTGTGTGTATATGTATAAATACACGGATTCCCACACCGTGGCAGTAGGTGTGTATATATATGTATATATGTGTATATATATGTGTGTGTATATGTATTTGTACACGGATTACCACTCCGTGGCAGTAGGTGTAGCCCAGCTCTCGGCTGACGGTCCAGTTAGCGTGTTCTTCTATCTGCTGCTCATCAGGAAACACAACCGTCTGATTAAACCAGGAGAACTCCAGCTCCACACAGGGAGTCTCCTGAAGAGGACGATCAATAATCCATCAATCAACACAATCAATCACATGTGATCCACAGGCAGAGAGACAGACAGGCAGTCGGAGATGTTGTGTACCTTGTTGGGATTTGAACCTGCGACTCCGATGGGATTGAGGAGGTCCTCGAGGCCGTGAGGGACCGGCCAAAGACTCAGAGCCACTTTACCCGAAACCAGGATGTCTGTGTAGTCAAACAGGTTCACGTTGCCCCAGGCCAGAGGACAGTGCTCCTGAGGGACAGACAGGTGGATTCAGTCACACTTTCTTTGGTTCCTTCATGTGTTTATGGGTCCTTGTCTCCATCCCATCTCACCTCCTTGGCTCCTTTTCTTCCCTTCACAGAGCAGATCGACAGGCAGAGTCTGGCTGAGCGAGGTAGATCAGCCAGGTAGATGTCATAGGCCAGCCACTCGTTCCACCTGGAGACAGACAGACAGGTAGGACCACAGACAGGGGGTGAGACACAGAGCTAAGAGAGACAGGTGATCAGCAAGACAGGTGGAGAAAGTGTATATATTCAGTGTGTATAATCAGTGTGTATAATCAGTGTGTATATTTTCAGTGTGTATAATCAGTGTATATAATCAGTGTGTATATATTCAGTGTATACTTGTGTACTTGGTACAGTGAGGATACAGAGTGTTTGTTACCTGGGGTTAGAACAGGGGACTCTCTGGGTGTTGACGTTGTCACAGAGCGGCTCTCCACCGTGATAGATTCCTGTCCTCACATAGATCTAAACACACAGAGACACACACATAGTACATGTTTCAAGCTTTACACCACAAAGAGACATAAAGACACACAGAACCACCACAAAGAGACACAAAGACACACAGAACCACCACAAAGAGACATAAAGAGACATAACCACCACAAAGAGACACAAAGACACACAGAACCACCACAAAGAGACATAAAGACACAGAACCACCACAAAGAGACACAAAGACACAGAACCACCACAAAGAGACACAAAGAGACACAGAACCACCACAAAGAGACATAAAGACACACAGAACCACCACAAAGAGACATAAAGACACACAGAACCACCACAAAGAGACACAAAGACACACAGAACCACTACAATGAGACACAAACAAACTCCAAAGAGAAACAAAACAAGAATGAGATGTAAAACAACCAGAAATAGATGAAAACCTCAACAAACAGATTCTAAAGAACCAGAAATAGATACAAAACCACCTAAAAGAGACAGAAAAACACCACAAAGAGATCAGAAAACCGAGAACACGAGAACACGAGGACACAGGGACACGAAGACATGAGAACACGAGAACAGACTGGGGATGATGTCGTGACGAACCTTGTCGATGTCTCGGATGTTGACGTTAACGTAAGTGGCGCAGAGCAGTCGGACCCTCAGCAGAGTGTTGAAGGCCCACAGAGAGCGAGGAGGAGAACCATCTCCTCCTCCTGGACAGGGAGACGGCTGAGGAGTTCGACGACTGAAACACAAACAACAACCATCTTCCACCTGGCTACACTTCACCTGTACAGGCTCCTGATTGGCTGTGATACGTGTGTCAGAGATGCTGATGGACTGCTGTACCTGTATGAGGGTGTGACAAAGCCAGAGCCAGGTAGCTGAGAGTGAAGGCTGTCTTTGGAGACCAGCATCAGGTGTGGAAGACGACCCACGATGATACAGGACCGGATATACTGCAGAGAGACAGGTGGAGGGACAGACAGGTCGTACTCGAGAGCTCATCCATGAAGGTTTGTGTTTTCAGACTGAAGTTGTTACCTTGTACTGACTGAGAGGATACTTCTCCAACAGGTACTCATCACAGCCACACACCTGAGGAGACAGGCAGACAGGTGAGTCAGGCAGACAGGTGAGTCAGAAAGACAGGTGAGTCAGACAGACTGGTGTAGCTTCAAGATGTACTGCCCCCGGTACTCCTGGACACAGACAGACAGGTGAGTCAGACAGACATACAGACAGACAGGTGTCCCTCCATGATGTACTATCTCTGGTACTCCTGGACACAGACAGGTGTGTCATGTAGACAGGTGTACCTTGAGGATGTACTGTCTACCTTTAGAAACAATTAATATTAGATATTCTCTTGGACCAAAGACTGCCGCAAAGAAAAACAAACAAACAAATAACCACGACAAGGAGACACAAAACCACCACAAAGAGAAAACAACCATGAAGAGACAAAATAACCACAGACACAAAACAACCACAAAGAGACACTAAACAACCACAAAGAGACACAAAACAACCACAAAGACACATAAAACAACCAAAAAGAGACATAAAACAACCAAAAAGAGAAACAAAACAACAACAAAGAGACAGAAAACAACCGCAAAGAGACAGAAAACAACCACTAAGAGAAAGAAAACAACAAAGAGA